CTTTCCCTCAGTCTTTTCTTCTTGTCTGCGCCTGTTCTATTTGTTTCGTGTCTCAACCATTTCTTCTACTTTCTCCATATTTGTCTCGTTGATCCCACTCTCTACCAGTTATTTCTTCTTCCACTCTGAGTCTGGGGCTACCACACATCTCTCTGAATATATGCAATCCATCTATTTGTCTAGCTATATTTTGAAGTTTTCCTCTACAGTTGCAATTAACTGGCTTCTATGTTCCATTTCTTTCTGCATACACCTGTATGCTACTTTTAGCACCATTTACTATTTGTCTCAATATAAGCAGATATGCCCCTAGTTATTCTCTGTCTACTTGTTATTTTGTGTGTGTGTATGTGTTTAATTGCCAGAAGGTATGTGTGCTGACTAGAGACAGAGTGGGAGAAGAACAAAACACCTCTCAATGGTGGTCACATCACAATCCCTTTTATTCCATCCAATGTGGAACTGGGGCACAGATACATACAGCCCTAGGGGTTATTGGTATTTTTCAAGCCATGAGGGTCAAGATTCAAACTACAGTCAGCCATATGGGGTCGGATCTCTTAACCATGAGGCCACAGGGCCAGCCCTCCATTTTATCTCCTACACTACAATGCCTTCACTACAATATGACTACTTACTTTGGTGTAGGTTGGCTTTTTGAATTTTGGCCTCCCTCTGCATTCACTTTGCTTCCTCTTATCTCTTGGCCTGACCTGCTTTCTGTGCTTACTCTATATTGTAAGTCTCTCCACCATTTGTCTGATCCCTTTCAGTGCTTTTCTTTCCTCAGCCAAAAAATAGGGTATACTGATAGAAACAGGGAGCCATTAGTAAAAATATTAATCCCATAGGAACACCTACTACATTTTACTTTCAAGTAAGTTGCATTTAAAACTAAAGAACACACAAAAAATTGGGGGTTAAAATACTTCAAAAACAAAAAAGAAAACGCTATATTCCTTAAAGAACTTGGTCTTCAGAAGTTGGCTAGGAAAATTCAAATATCCCCAGGAGGCACAACTAATTTAGGATAAGCTAACAATTGGCTGAGTTGCTTTAGGCCCAAGCAGAGTAAATACTTGAAGTCAAACCTGACTATTTAAAGATTTTTGCCTAAGGCCCACACTGTTCTGAACTCAGTACAAATTTCATCTCAGGCACAAGTTAATAAGACTAGGGTGGCAGCTTAGAACCTATGTAACATTGTATTACAGTTTTTAGTCTCCTAGCAAATTACTTACCCACTCTTGCTCTCCAAAGGACAGGTAGTTAAGTGTTCCTGGCAAGAATACAGGGCCTATACTCACCTCTGTTTCAGGGCTGGGATTTCAGTGGGTTCTGGCTCAAGTATTTCATAGGCCAAGTTCACATCCTCTGTCTCCCGAAGTAATGCATAAATGGGCTCAATTTGTTCATTAAACCTTGCCAAAAGTGTGCGTGCATCTTTTTTGGGCATTGCTGATTCATCCTCTTCTACTTCTGTATGGCAAAAAGTACAGCGGAAAGTTCCTACAGAGAAAACAGAAGTCTCAGGTCAAGGAGGTAAAATCTTTAAGACAAGCCTTTAGCAAACAGTTTATACTTTTCATCCCTTCCTAAACATTCTAGTACTAAAACTTTCAAATACATAGAAAAGTTAGAAGAATTTTACAATGAACACTCAACGCATCTTCCACCTAGATTCCACAATTCACATTTTGTTATATTTATCACGTATCTATCCATCTAGCATTTTTGATGCTTTTCAAAGTAACTGTAGCCCTAACTTAAGCACAGCAGTTTCTAATTATTTTTCATAGATTTACATTTATTTTAACTTAAAACCAAAACTTTTACAGGTTAACCACTGCACCTTGTACTAGCTTTCTTTTCACATATTATACATTTGGGTCTACGTTATAAGGAAATCCAAATAAATACCTAAAACCAAAAGTTTCTGATTATCCTGTACATTGTCACAATGTTATTTCATCAAACTTATTAACCATTTATTTCCAAATAAATTTAATCCAATCCATGCCTAACAGTAAAGTTCACACAACTTGGGGTGGCAGGTAGCATGATTTAATACACTGAATCTCACATGGCTGACTGCATGGCTCCAGTCCTGGACCCAGCGACTTGGATATCATGTTGGGCATGTGTTTAAGAGTGCCCAAAATCCTCAGGAGACTGAAGAAGAAGGCACTGCAGCTTAGCCATCCCCTTCCCCTCCCCAGAGTTGTGTGACTTCTTTCTTTCTTTCTTTCTTTTCTTTCTTTTCTTTCTTTTCTTTCTTTTCTTTCTTTTCTTTAGAAACATAAAACAACAAATATTATCTCCTATGGGCAGTGCGTCAGAAGCCTAGGTGTGCTCAACTGGGTTCTTTGCTTTGGAATGTCTAACAATGAACACAATGTCAAGAATGCAGATCAATGGGAATTTTTATAAAACACTAGAAGAGGGACCAGCAGCTAGCGTAATAGCTATGTCACTGGACTCCCATGTAGTCGACTGCGGTTCATGTCCTGGACCCGGTGGCTTAAACTCATGCCAGGCGCGTGTGCGTGCGTGTCCAAGATCCCAAGAGGAGAATGGAAAAGAAGGGATTGCGGCGTGGCCATCCCGCCTGGGGGGTGATTTCTCGCTTTCTATCTCTCTGTCTCTCTCTGTCTGGCGAGCGCACGCGCCCTATAGCAAAAACCTCTCCAAACAAAAAAAAAAAAAAGAGGTTCAATTTTTATTTTTCTTATTTCTATACCCCTAATATCCAATTTGTAACTAAATTATAGCAATTCCTTAGAAAATCTCATTTCAATCTAGACCACCATTACTTAGTCTGAAAAAGCTTCCTAAATCTGGTCTTTGAATCTGCAGGTTCTCCCTCTCCAATTCCCAGTTTCCTATGCCACCACTTTGATCATTTCATCCTCTTGTTCTAAAATCGATCAGATAGCTAAATTTCTAAAGTTAACATCATAAAAATCTAAATTTCTCATGCTGACATTCAAGACCTTACATTATTTGCCCCCAAAGACCATAAATTCAATCAAATTTATCTACACTTTCTTGATCTTCATACCAATCCTGTTCAGTGCTTTCAGAACAGAGGCAGGCTCTGGGTCAGCCCTGTGGCATAGTGGTTAAGTGCTGTGCAAAGAAAACTAGATCCTATGTGGCTGATCCAAGTTCAAATCCTGACCCCAGCTTCACACCAGGGTCACAAGTGATGGAGAAATGGAAAAGGGACTGCAGCATGAACGGGCTCCTTTAGGGAAGCTGCACACACATGCTCTTTATCATGAATAAAAATAAGCTTAAAAAAATAAATAAAAGAACTGATGTTCTAAAGAGTTTTGTGACTTGCCTAAAGTAACAGCAGCTATTGTCTACTGAGAGCTTACTAAGTGCCATGTATCACCAATTCTCAGAAGTTGGAATTATTTCTGCCTGTTTAATTCTGTAAAATACAGAACTTCTAAAAAGTTAGGTTATTCAATATCACATAATTACTAGCTGGAAGGAGGGGTTAGGATTCAAATCAATCCAAACTATTGTGTCTAAAACTCAAGCTCTGAAACATTACAGTCACCCTCAGGTATCTGAAGGTACTGGTTTAGGACCCCCATGGAAACATAACTCCAGGGATGCTCAAGTCCCTTATATAAAATAGTGTAGTATTTGCACATAATCTACACACATCCTCCTGTATATTTTAATCCATCTCTAGATTACTTGTAGTACATAATACAATACAAATGCTGTGTAAATAATTGTCACAACATACTTTTAGGGAATAATGAGAAAAAAAGTGTTTATGCTCAGTACAGATACAACCATCACAGGCCTAACTGCATATCATACATTAGCAACAATATGACAGTTAAAAACAAACCTACAGCTCATTAACTCCACAGACCTGGAGGGCCAAATGTATTTAATGGTCTAGATGAGTAGACAGTTAAGCTCTTATTTGTAATGCAGCTTTCCCTCAACTTACTTGAGGGAATAAAAGAGATCACATATGCAGGGTCTTCAAAAAGCTCATGGAAAATGCATACACTGAAAAAACTATGCATAGGTTGCAAAATTTTTACACCAAAATAAACTCGCACAATTCTATTTACCATTAGCTTTCTGGAGTACCTTCATAAATATTTCGTGTCTGTCACATGAGCAATTATTCAAATATTTAGCTTTAAAGGGCCTTGTATGTGACTGATACACATTTTATTTCCTTAATCCCTTAAGGAATAAAAAAAAAAATCAGGCAACTCTACTTCAATGTAACACTAGATCCTGCTGCTACATTTCCAGCAGAATAGCTTTCTTTACTGCTCTCATACATAGCCAAAAGTATGAAAGTTCTTCACTCATATAGTCTAAACTCTCTCCCCATTCATCTTCCTGCTGTTCAAACACTACCTAGTTGTCTACAACTATCCCAAATAAGTGAGAGAGAGAAAAGCAGTTCCTCACAGCTACAAGGTGGTCCAGCACTCACAACTAGGCATGATGTATTTCCATCAAACAGAATTTCACAGATAACCAACATCAGATAGGATGTGGGGCAACACCAAGCCCTGTGGAAATGTATCTGAGGATAGACAAGAGCGAGAACTGCTAGGAAATCCAGCTAACCCAAGTAACTGCTGCTTATATACCAATTACAGTTTAACCTTGCCCTGTTATTCTTGTCTCCTAGATAAGATTTACTAAGATAACCAATCACAGAATTACTTCCACTTTTTAATCCAAAGCAAACCCCCACCACTTCCCTGAATCCTCCTCAAAATTACCAAACAGAAGTTCAAATTCTCCGTCTGTCCACCATTACTGAGTCACTCCATGATGTGTGTTTGAAGTCAACTTAACATATCTCTTTAGAGCTCAAGAGATGGGTAAGGATTAGACATTTAGATATGAGAATCAACAATATATAGGTGGTAAATTAAACCACAAAGTAGATCAGTGTATCCACAGACACTAAGAAGAATGAGAAGATGCATCAATGAAGGTATAAACCAGAGGAAAAAGAACTCCTTGAGAAGCCAGATAGGATGGTGTTTCATAGAAATAGGCTGGTGCTAATTTTTCAGTCAACAAAGATTAAAACCAGCTTTTATATTTAGTATCAAGGATTAGTAGTGACCTTGGTTAGAGAAATTTGAGATGATACTCTATCTCTAATTTTTTTCTAACAATTCTATCACAGCCTCTTCTTTTCAATAGAAACATAAAGCATATAATCAATGTGAGAGTTAGGAAAGAAAGAAAAAAAAACAGGGCTTGACCCATAGTATAATAGTTAAGCACGGGGCATTGACAGCTGGATCTCAAATGGCTGGCCACAGTTTAAACTCAGGCCCCAGAAGCTTAAAGGTGCACAGGCGTGCCCAAAATCCTGACAGGAAGGAGAAATGAAGGAAAAAGAATTGTAGCTTGACCATGCCCCACTAGGGAGCATGTTCTTTCTTCCTCCCTTCCAATCTCCTTCCCCCTCTCTTGTGCACACACACAAGGACACATGCCTTCTGGCAATAAAATAAGATTGAATATAGCTCTTGAATATCTGCTGAATTTAAAAAAAAAAAACTGGTTTAGGACTTAATTTGGCCATTGAAAGAGATAGTCCATGAGAACTAAAAATATTTCAAAAGACAAACTGTCCAATTCAGTAGTTTCCATATTAGTTTTTAAAAGTAGGAATGCCATTCCTCAAGTGAAAAATCATGTGCTCTGGTAGAAGCATAGAAAGACAGCTAAGATAAAAGGCAATACTCTAACTCTCCCATTACATATCTTTTATTATTTTTTAAGAATTATTTAATTTTATTTATTCATTCACTCATTTATTTTAATTTTACCAGAGAGAAACACAGAGAGAGGCAGAGAAAGTGAGAAAGCAAGCGACCAGGTCCTTGAACTGTGATAGGCCACAGTACCTTAACTACGCCAGTACCTTAACGACTACACCACCTGCTGGCCCTCTCTCATTACATATCTTAAAAGTGTTACAAACCAGTGTCCTCAATGTCTCCCACCAGGCATACTTGGCTTCAGAACCTGTGCACTTCTGTTCCCTCTGCCCAGGGTGCTTTCTCTCAGTCAGTCAGATGGTTCATCTCCTAACTATTTCGGTTCTTCATTCAAAAGTTACCTTGGTGGGACCAGCAGTTAGTGTAATGGCTACATTCATTGCTGGACTCCCACGTAGTCGACCGTGGTTCGTATCCCGGACCTGGTGACTTAAAAACTCACGCCAGGCGCATGTGCATGCGTGCCCAAGATCCTGAGAGGAAAATGGAGGAGAAGGGATTGCGGCGTGGCCATCCTCCCTGGGGGGTGATTTCTCGCTTTCTGTCTCTCTGTCTCTCTCTGTCTGTGTGGTGAGCGCACGCGCCCTATAGCAAAAACCTCTAAAAAAAAAAAAAGTTACCTTGGTAAGACTTTTTCTAGACAACATCAACATTTTACTACTGCCCTCTCCATCATCTTTCCCTTTCTTTAATACTGTCACTGTTCAAATA